GTGAAAACTAGGCAGTTACCTCCTTCCCACCAGCACTACTGCAAAGCTGTGGGTAAAGAGAGTGGAAAGGGAAAGAAGCCCTGAATTGATTTATTAGATCTGAAATGACGCTTCCCCAATGACCCAGGCAGTAAAGAATCTGCCTGCAATGCAAGAGACCTAGGTTCAATCCCTGGTTCGGGAAGATGCCCTGGAGAAGGGAATGGCAACCCCCTGCAGTATTCCTGCCTGGGAGATCACATGGACAGAGGCGCCTGGCAGACTGCAGCCCATGAGGCTGCATGACTAAGCGCGAGCAGGGGATCCAAAGTGACTGAGGAAACTCTGGCTGCATTTACAACACTTTATTCAGACAGGCTAAGTTTCTCCTTCTTTTTTAATAATTACTTGGCCCTGCTGGGTCTTAGTTGCAGCATAAGAACTCTTGATTGTGGCATGTGAGATCTAGTTCCCTGACCAGAGATTAAACAGGGCTCCCTGCACTGGAAGCACAGTCTTAGCCACTGGGTCACCAGGGAAGTCTCAAACCGATTAGGTTTTACCTACCACTAGGTAGAATGGGGGACTGTTATAAACAAAAGTATCATAAAAATAAATCATATGTTTGAATAGCTTATATATTTACATTCAAAAATTAGAAAGTTTGCACGCTTGAGTTTTTGGCTGGAGAAATTTGTTCATGCCAAGTCAAGCTAATTAGCATATGGTGATTTTTTTTAAATACCGAGACAATTCACAGGCCAAATTTTTTTAAATGGCGGCTCTCCTTCATTCACTTAGGAATGTCTTCTGCAACTGTATTCAGTGCCATTAAGAAACCAGTGTCAGATTTCAATCATGGCGGCTTCCACTTCTGGCTACCCCTTCAGGGCTGTGTGTTTCCACAGCGCCAGCAGCTACGCTGACCACCTGCAACTCTCTTCTTCCATTGCTCTCAGGAAGGATTTTTGCTGGGAGAGGTAAGGCAAGAGGAAACCTTCAGCATCAGTGACTCCCAAATCAGCAACATGGAGTTTCTGCAAGTAATTGAAATCCATAACCATCAGCCTTGTTCAAGACTTTTTAGTTTTTATGACTATGCAAGCAAAGTTAATGAAGAGAGCTTGGACAGGATTCTTAAAGATCGGAGAAAGAAAGTTATTGGGTGGTACCGATTCTAGTGAAACATGCAGCCGCAGATGTCATACAGACAGCAAGTGACCCATAAGCAGCTCACCCACATCCTCGGGGCAGCCGACCTCGTCTTCCTCCCCTTCAGCTTCATCTCCACACCAACAATTCCACTCATGCTTTAGAATATGTTCTCTTTATATAGAAGGTATAAAGGCTATCCCTCACTATCCCCAATCTAGGCAATACTACCCAACAAGAGTATAAGGTGTCTTCAGTGGCAAATATGTCTCAGAATTATGCCAAAGTTATTAAAGAACATGGTACTGACTTTTTGACAAGGATGGACTAATGAAAGACATCGGGACGATTTATCAGGTTTATAATGTGCTTCAGGAGAAAGTGCAGGCAGTGTGTGCAGCCGTAGAAAAGAGAGAGCAAGGTGTTGAATCTTGTCAGGCAGAAGTGAACCAATTAAGAAGACAGACCACTCAGAAGAAAAATGAAAAGGAACAAGAAAGATGATTGCAGCAGGCAACGGTAAGCAGATAGATGCCATCTGAAAGTGTGGACCCCACCTTCAACCCTCAGAAGCACTATCCAGGGTTCACAGCAGAAGGTCAAAGTACACCTGGAAATGCAGAGGCCTCAGACCCGCCTTCACCTAATTCTGATCTTCACCCAAATAACCAAGAAAGTACTCTGAGTCATTCTCACATGGAAACTAGCATCTTTATGCCTCGACCTCAAGCCATGGACTCCTCCAGTTATGCCTCCAGCAGTGCTGGACTGAAATATCCTGAAAGTGGAGCAGACCCCCTCCTTCCCACAGAGCAGATGCAGACAGGGCTGAGTAATCAGACGACAGTGATTGTGAAAATTCGATTGACCCTACAGAGTCCTCTAATAGCGAATACTCACATTCAAGTGATTCTTGACCCATGACACATCCTCACGAGGGCTCCAGGAATGCTCAGACCTCCCAGATTTAACTGAACGCAAGAAACTCTCCAGTTAGCCCTGTTTTTCTTAATTGCTAATTGAGAGAGTTTTTGAGGACTTCCTCTGGGGGAAGAACTGCTTACTCAGATCCCTGGACTCCCCAAGACAAGAGTTTTTGGGCACAGACCTTGGAGGAGCCTCCAAGGGGTCCATGTGGGGTCCTCGCCTGCAGATGCAGTGTGCAAGGCTCACAACAGTCATTAAGATAATCAAATTGTCCAAATTCTGGTGCAATTCATGATGTACTGGTAAATTTAGGCAAAGACAAATTTATCAATGCAGTTTCTGTTCTTTGAAATAATTTGGAAATTAGAGACTAAGCACAATTAGTCTATAAATGTTCTATAAACCAAAACCTTACCTCTTGCACTATCATGCCTTGGAATTTACTTTTTCAAAGGAAAACTAGTTTAGCAGCAACGTTCAAAGATTGGAACAAATCAGATGTACCTTCTTTTGTCCTCATGACTTTATGAGATCAAAAGAGGGGATTTTGTTTCCACTTATTTCTACTAGCCTGATATGTATTGTCACTTAAAATGGTTGCCTTAAAAAAAAATGTATGAATACTAATTACCAGTAAGTAATCATCCAAATAAGTATGTCATAAAATAAATTACTTATTTTTCTTTCGGGGAATTCCAGTGACTGCTATGTTGCACTAGCCATGTTTACGGTCTCTGTTTTGGAGTCTTAAATGAAGGACACACAACAGTATAACAGGAGTTATGTTCTAGACCTGCCTGAGTTTTGCGAGGAATAGACTCCAGACACTGTGGATTTAGCCAAGTTCATACATAAAGGAGATAACTTGTGTAGATCTTCTGACAAATCCTAGTGTTAGTCTTATTTGTGGAAGAAAGACATTTAACAAACTGTTTGGGAAGCTTGGTTATTGAATAGAGATTCATTTTCAATCGGAATAACCATACTTTATTAAGTTACCATTTGGCATATAGCTGTGGAATGTGTAGAGACTTTCCTTGGGGATGCACTTAACATTTTTATTTACTGCTTCTTTTCTAGTTTTGCCCAGAATGTGTGACGTTCTCATGAACAGACATTCATGAGTATGACATGCTCCTGGTTTGGAAAAGACAAGACCCCCTCCCCTGTTTGTGGCAGGGTCAGCCCACAAAGCTAATGCCATGGATTATAACTGCCTTTTCTTTGGACTAAGTACAACCTGTAAGAATAAGGAAGTTGTTAAAAAGGCTTAAAATCCAGGTTCTGAAAAAGTAGTTTTATTTTGTAAGAAAGAAGTTTTAGTCTGACTGGAAATTAAATGCTCAAACTGCCATTTTTCAGGTAGCTACTCAATAGGTTCTGTATCTTCCTACTCTCCAGTTTTATTGGCCTTATACCACTGCCATTTGATTTGAAATGTTGCAGGTCTTCCTTTGTGGCTCAGCTGGTAAAGAATCTGTCTGCAATGTGGGAGACCTGGGTTTGACCCCTAGGTTGGGAAGATCCCCTGGAGAAAGGAAAAGCTACCCACCAGTATTCTGGCCTGGAGAATTCCATGGACTGTATAGTCCATGGGGTCACAAACAGTCAGATATGACTGAGCGACTTTCACATCACTTCACTTCAGACCACTTTGTCTGCGAATGTGTTCCAGTGTTTACCAGCTACCTTCTAGTGGCTTCACCGCCAGTGTGAATTTTTGTTTTTTTAAGTGCCATCGCCATCTCCTCTGTTCAGATTTTGACATTCAGGAAAATATTTTTATTTTTATACCATACTGAAATCTACAATGTATATCTGACAAAGCAGTTAAATGTGACAATAAAAACATTTAATCATGAAAAAAAAAAAAAGAAACAAGTGTCCTATGGGAAACATCTACTTGGCTTTTTTGATTTATTTGGTTTGTTTCTGATTTTGTGTTTTACCCTGAATAGTATCTACCAGTCATGGCTCTGAATGCTTGTAATTTCCCACATTTCTATGTCCCCTCATTAAGTTAAAATTTTGTTGGTGTTTCTTCTCACTCTTTAGATTTACCAAACTGACACAATAGAGAGCTTCATGCCTAAGAACAAAGATAAAATATTAACTTATGTGGGGAGGCTTTAACTCCAAAAGTTAGTTAGAACTAGAGAACTTTCTAGAAAGAACTTGGCTGGACTATGCTGTGATCAGGCTCTCTGTCCTTTGTGGGAGGGGTCAACAGTTCGCAATAAAAGTCTCTCTTCCCAACCTCCAGTGCAGTTTATTGTATGTCAGTTAAACCTCAATAAAGCTGCTTTAAAAAAATTTTTTAAAGTCTGTTTCTCTTTACTCTACCTTTTACTTTGCTCTATACAGCTCCTGTATCACTGGAGTCTTTTACAATAACATAGACTTTATGTATTCTTGAGTAATAAATAAAAGAGCATAAGAATTTGAAAAACAACATCTCCTCATCCAAATTATTGTTTGACTCACACTGACCAGAACCTACAGAGCCCTAGCTCCGTCCAAAGTTCTCTCTGTCCACTGAGGAGGCATTAAGTAGGCAGCAGAGTTGAAAAGGAATGATGCAAAGTGGACAAGGAACAAACAGGATAGGGGAGACAAGGCCCACTGTAACTGAAGAATTGGAGTCTGCTTTTTCTGACACACCTCCCTGGGAATTATTAGAACCCCAAAGCACATGATTTTGGCCTTACAACTGGGTTGGGAGTGTTCTAGAGGAGGATAATGTTAGTCTCCTGTCTAGCCAGCAAGAGAAGGAAGCCTACTACAGTGAAAGGAATACCAGACTTTATGGCTTTGTCCATAGCTATGTAAGTGTAAGAAATTTACTCAAGTTTTTGAGATCTTTGATTCCCTTTCTGCAAATGTGTAGGTTGGACAGCACGAATTTTAAGGACCCTCTTAGCATAATAACACCACTTCTAGTCTTGAGGCATATACAAATTACAGCAGAAACTTTATTAGAAATGTCAAATACATTCACAGGAACTGCTCTTCAAATCTCCACCTGCTCAAGCTGCTGATGACCAGTCTGAAGAGGTGATTAGGGACCAGAAGCACTCCCTCCAAGGACAAGCAGTAACAGCATCAGCAGTAGCTTTAACTTCCAAACTGAAGTGTGAAAACACGTGGCCCCACTGTCAACCTTTCGGGCCGAGATGGACCTGAAGGGGCAAGTTTCCTTCACCCACAGGGGTCCCACTTTAAAGACCCCAGCCATCAGCCTGCAACCAATGATGGATGTACAGCCTTTGATCTCCAAAACTGAGTTGATGTTTCCTATGGAACAAGGATGGGGAGACACATAGATGTTTGAGGAAATCAGAGAGGAATCCAGTCCTCACCTCATTCCTGGAACTCAGTGTCAGAACCTCTTAGGCTACACTCAGATGCCTGAGGTTTTCTGGCCTCTAAAACTATCAGATGTTCAGCTTACCTTCAGAGACCTCAAGTTTCCCTTGATAGCATCGATCTGTATTGTTGGGGCAGGCAAGAGAAGGAGCACTCAAACAGGATCCCAGAGCCAGACAGGTGGGGCAGCGGAGGCCTGTTGTCCCTTGGGTTTCTGAAGAGGGAGGAGACAGAAAGTTAAGGATGTGTCCTGCCTCTGGAATTATCTCTCTTTGCTGCCTTCTCTTCCTCGAGTCTTTCCTGCTGATGCCTCTCTACTCAAGGCCTGTTACTACCATCTCCCCATCCCTCTCCAACTGATATCTGTGCTGTCAGAACACAATCCAACATGACTTCCAAACTGTGTATAGGTGTGGAGGTACAAATACGCAAAGGACACAGTTCCTGCCATCTAGGATCATTGTCCTGAAAGAGACAGACATGTAAGTAATTAACCACCATACAACTCTGTGGGCACTCTGGCCAAGGTACGGTAGTGAAGAAATGGAAGAATGCTTAATTACCTAAAATAATTTGATATTTTTCCCCCAGAACAGATACCTCAGTTGAGATGGAGGAAAAACAGAGATTAGCTGTGTGAAATGGGGGTTGAGTGAGGGTAAAAAAGGCAACAGCAAGGACAGAGGCCTGAAGTGTGAGCTGGCTTGGTGGATTTGGGAATTGTGAGAAATCACCAGATGTTGATATTCAGCTGGTAGGCACAGACAGGCAGGGCTGGACTGTTTTTTATAGCCAGCATCCCTTCTGATTGGCCAGTACCATCTCCATTGTTAAATATTTTGAATCCTTCCCTATCTAAAACACAATAAATGAGAGAGGGAAGAGAAGAAAATGACCTGAAAAGGTAGGTGTGGCCAGGTTACTGTAGACTTGAGGACAAATGCAGGAACTGGGCTGTGGCCATGTGGCAATGGGGAAGCCAGAGCAGTTAGACCAATGCCACCAGACTGCTCAGAAACCTCCACTGACATCTTATTGCTTAATAAACCCCAAATCCACTTTACACTGCAGCCTTCACTGATGTCCCTCTGCTTGGAGTACTGTTTACACATCTTGAGGTGACAATTTAGAAAAAGAGAGACAAGCAAAAGGTCTGAGGTCCTTTGGTGTATGGCCCACTTGAACCTAAATCAAGTAAGAACACAAAGAAGGAAGCCTCCCATTTTCTTTTCAGGAGTGTATAGAGTTTTCCTTATAGCGCCCATCTCTTCCCTCACAGGGTACCTTCTTCAGTCTCTTGTGTCCTCCATATATCATATAATCCCTCTCTGTTATTGCAAAAGGGATCCTCGCAGTAGTTACTGTAAGAGATTGCAACTAGGCCCGGGGCTGCAGCATGCTGGATAAATGTTATTGCCGGTGTCCCATCCAAGCTGCAGCTCTTAGTGGCCAAAATAGCTGCCTTGGTCCCTGCTGTGAGACAGAAAGGAAAGAAAGTGGGTGGGGACGCTACTGTTTGGCCTAGGGAAGGTGGAACAGTCTTAACATGAACATAATCATCGCCCCACTCACCCGCCCCCACCAGCCCTATCGCCCCTTTTTCATTTTACCAGCTCTGATCAGCAGGATGCTTTCCTGGCACAATGCCCCATTGTCACAAGTCTCAACTTTCTCTGAGGTCCAGTTGAACGTGTTTGCTCGATCCTCTTGGATACCCACAAAAGTACCCTTTTGACAAAACAATTTCTGTGCCACTGGGGAGAAAAGGAGATAAAGATGAGCACTTGTCCTCCTCTGCCGGGGGCACAAATCACTCTTTTTTCACCAGAAATCCATCCCCCTTGACCCAACCACTCCCCTCGCCCTCCCCCACCCCCACAGCTCCAATACATACTGATCAAGGTCGGAGCTCCTACAAGAAAGAGGAGCAGCAGACCCTGAAAGTGACAGGCTCCCATGGCTTCTTTTAGAGACGTTTGTAAGAATTGGCAGGATCTGTGATTTGATGGACATCGACAGGAAGCTTTTCAGTCACATGGAATAAGATAAAATCTAGGCAAGCACCGACTAAAAGGCAGAGTTTACTGGTATATATAAAACGATGCCTTCTTAAGTCGGTCTGTCCCGATCTAGCTTGTGAGTTTGGGCAACTTAACTAGTTAACAAGTTTCTGTTTCCATAGCTATACTTCTCAGACTCGGCCACCCAGACCAACGAGCTCAACAACCCGTACCCTCCAACCTCTGGAGCCATAATCCGGCCTACAGGCCCCTTGTCCCTCAGACCCCGGAGTCCAGAATCAAACCTACGCCCTGGAGGCTCAGGTTTCCTTGCCCCGTCTTCATCTGAACCCGGGATTCTGAGATCTCAGCCTGGTCCTAACTAAGGATCCAGGAGTTTGGGTTCAGCCACCTTTTCTGGCAGGACGCGTGATTCTGGGTACCCAGCCTCTCCCCCTCTCAGATCAACGAGCGCAAGGCTCCAGCCTTCGCCCCGCTAGCTCCAGGAGTCCCGCCTTATCTTTATCCCACCCCAGCCTTATCTTTACCCAGGAACCTGGAAACTGGGTCTCCAGCCCCTCTTTTTCCCTTTAAGGGACCAAAATTCCTCCTGACTTCCAAATAATCTCACAAGAATATACTGGTGCTGAAGAAACGCCCTGAGACGCCACACTCTCCAAACCCGGCTTTCTCCTTCAAGCTCGCTGAGGCACAGAAGGTGGGACCTGTTTCACCCGACAGCTCACTCGAAGCCCCATTGGTTGACACGGAAGCGTATGATAGCTTATTGGATGAGCCTGGAGGAACGCCACACCCCATTGGCCTATCCCTGACCGGCTTAGAAGGTGCACATGCGCAGAATGGCGAGTGGCGGGTAAGCTGGAGGACCGAGAACTCGCTGGTCTCGGCTGTGCTAGGCCCGCTCAGTGCTGGGGCGGTGCATCCTGAGTGACCTTGCTTAAACTTTTCAGTTTGTTCTGTAGAGTTCATACTTCCCCAGCCGCATTAGGAAGGCAAACCTTTGGCTTTCATCCCCCGAACTCTTCTCCTAGCCCAAATTCCTCTTATGGTACCAGCTTGGCCCCTTCCCAGCATCAATCCAGTGGCCATATCTATCAGGAGTCAACTTGGTCCCCTTACTCTTCACTTGCAGTGGTTCCTGCTGGGCCCAGGCCTCATCCTCTGTACACACCAGGGCACCAGCCTCCTCCGTGGTCTTCTGGAAGACTGAACAGAGGGATGCTGGCTTCACCTTTATTTCTGGCACCCTGAACGGCAGAATGCCATTGGAGCTAACCCGCATATTGGTGTCAGTATCATGAACATCATGAATCATTCAGATTTCTTGTTCATGGCTGGAAATCATTACATATATATATATATATTTTTTTTTTACATATATGTATACTTACATATAAGTTTTCTGGATGTAACGAAGATGCCATGTGTTCTTTCAGACTTGATATTGTTTCTGTGAGTTTTGTGGTATAACTGAATATTTATTTTTCATAGAGAAAATGCCACAGTAAGAATAGTGTTGGTGAAACTCTTAACTTTATGTGAAAATGTATGAAAAGCTTCCAGTTGGGGACTGTTAACATTAAGAATATAATTATTAATATTGTTATCCATGTAACTATTAGAAAGAGTTAATATACATAGTAAGAGAGCATTCTGGCCCAAAGACCCAGTCCCTCAGGACCCAGGAATCTGAGCCACACTCCCTTTTTTTGGACTCAGGCCTCCAGAACTCACCTCTTTTGATCTGTAGCAATATGTGGTTTTCCTGGGTTATTGTGTAACTATAGGTCTGGAGCAAGGTCTCAGATCTTGGCCACCATTGCCAGTACGGGACCAATGAGTTAGGGGGAACTGGAGGGCAGAGAGGGTGGCTGGAAGCTGCATAGACACCTGCTTGGAGCTCCAGAATCTTAAGACCCTCATCCCTTCCCATGCCTCTGAGTAGCACTCACCCTGCCTCTTCAGTCCTACCTCCATACTTGACATCTAGCAACTGTAATGAAGATCATCTTAAATAACACATTGGCCTGTTAATTAGTTTGCTGAGGCTGCCATAGCTAAGTACCATGGAATTGAGAGGCTGGAAGACTTATTTTCTGTGTGAGCTTTGAACATTGTTCCATGTATTTCTCCCTGGAAGGTTGTTTGCACCCAAATGCACAAGCTTAAATAAAGGGCTTCCCCCCAACCCCTACTCTATTCTAAAGTAAATTGCCTGTGTCTGCTCACTTAGCCCCGGTAGGGAGACATGGTATTTTACTTGTGTGTTTTAAATTAACTTTTGGCATGGTTAAGATGGCCCCAAACCACCTCTGAATAAAGTAACTAAAAGCAGACATTTTAACAAGAGCTAGTGCTGCTTTAAAATGTTAATCATTTATATAAATATAGTACATCTTTCTTTAGGTTCAGTTTTTAAAGCCATCAGTAACTCAGTAGAAATTCTTTTTTTTTTTTTTAATTTCTTTATATTTGTCTGTGCCAGGTCTTAGTTAGCACACATGGGATCTGTTAGTTTCAGCATGTGGAATCTAATTACCTGACCAGGGATTGAACCCAGGTTCCCTGCACCAGGAGGTGGAGACTTAGGCACTGGACCACCAGGGAAGTCCCCATCCTTCTCACATCTTGGGAATTGTAGGTGTTGGTCATCTTGGGTAACTGCTCAAGACATAATAGGGAGACCCACAGTGTTGATGGCTTCAATGCTCACGTACCACAAATCTTGGATATTGAGGTGCCCATGCTTCCGGCAGTGAGCCAATTTGGTCCCCTACCCACCCACCCTGGGTGAGGTTACCCTGACAGGTTTAGAGATGGAAGGAAGAATAAGGATCTATTCTTAAAGAATTGAGAGCTCAGGGGATCCCTGAGGGCTCTCAGGGTAGGGTGTGCAAGAGCATTTGTGCATACTCATTGGCTCTCTCTGGGGTGTGGGCCATGCTGTGCTGGGACTGACTCCACCTGGTTCATGAGAGTCAATTTTCAGGAGTTTTTCAAGCCAGTTGCTAAATACAGCCACTATTAAAAATGAAATTTTGTCAACTTAAAACTAAATTATATTGAAGCAAAGGTAGGACTTCCTTAGTAGTCCAGTGGTTAAGAATCTTCCTGCCAATGCAGGGGACCCAGGTTTGATCCCTGGTCTGGGAAGATTCCACATGCTTCAGGGCACCTAAGCCCATGTGCCACAGCTTTTGAGCCTGTGCACTGCCGCTACTGAAGTTCGCACACCCTAGAGCCTGTGCTCCACAACAAGAGAAGCCAGCACAATGAGAAGCACATACATACACTGCAACTAGAGAAAGCCTGCCTGCAGCAATGAAGACCCAGCATGGCCATAAATAACAAAAAATTTTAAAACAAAGGTAATAAATACTCAAAAATCATCACTTCCTAAATTCTCTCTCTGCTATTTTACTATTACCTATGCTCTCGAGGCTGGTTATAACTATTGTATTTGTACGGTGTGTGTGTGTACACAGTCTGTCAATCATGTCTGACTCTTTTGTGACCCCGTGGACTGTAGCCTGCCAGGCTCCTCTGTCCATGGGATTCTCTAGGCAAGAATACTAGAGTGGGTTTCCATTTCCTCTTCCAGGGGATCTTCCCAACCCAGCGATCAAACCTGTGTCTCCTGCATGGTCATTTCTTCCCAACTCCATAGGCAGGGACATCATGATATCTTGAAATCAGCCACAGTGGGAGCATTTACACCAAGGACATTGGCAAATGCTACAGATCAGAGCTTTTATTTCTCCCTTCAGGGAGGCAGTTGTTTATTTACCAGCACACCATGAGTGTACGTGGCTTTGTGTTCAAGTATGGATTTATATAGAAAGGAGCTCTCTCCCCCATTTCAGTACTGGGCCTTTTCATGCCAGTTATAAATCTATGAAGTGCATGGCACCTCCCAGATGTAGAGCATCTGTGGTCAGAGCAATCTTCTTTGTTATATATTGTTGCAATCATATGTTTAAAATACATGAAGGAGTTCCCTGGTGGCTTAGTGGTTAGGATTCTGGGCTTTCACTGCCATGGCCTGGGTTCAATCCCTGGATGGGGAACTGAGATCCTGCAAGCTGTGCAGCATGGCCAAAAATAAATAAAATTAAATAAAATATATGATTACTCCCAACTCCTGCACCATCCTTTGTGGTTTTCCTGGATCCAGTATTAACAGTTGTAATCAGCGCTCCCCTTAATAAATTCTGTTCAAGTTACCCAACTTGGGTGAACAATTTATTTCCTGCTACCAGGTGGTTCAGTGGTAAAGAATCTGTTGCAAAAAAAAAAAAAAAAAGAATCTGTTGCCAATGCAGGAGATGCAGATGAGTGTTCAATTCCTAGGTCAGGAAGATCCCTGGAATAGGAAATGACAACCCATTCCAGTATTCTTCCTTGGAAAATCCCATGGACAGAGGAGCCTGGAGGACTTGGCAGGCTATAGTTCATAGGGTCACAAATAGCTGGACACGACTGAGCGACTGAACCTGAAGCCGGGACCCTGACCAATTCAGTAATTAGAATCAGCAGTGGCATCCAGCAACAGACAAACAAAATTGTATTCTGGGATTAGGTTTCCACTACATGGGAGAGGCACAGGGATGACCACCTTGATGGAAAAAGATAGGGCATAGGTGAGAGAAGTCCTGTGGCAATTTCATAGTTAGTCCAGTTATCACTGGGGTAGCAGTGAAAGAAGTGCAGATGGAAAGCAAGGTATTGGGGCCTGAAGTGGGTGTGGCACTTTGTTACTATGGCAACGGTGATGCACAGGTTGACTGGGGAGTCAGCTGGTTTCTTCGAATGACCCTAATGAGGAAACAAGGGGGAAAGAGGAGCAATGGAAAGATGAGACTGTCCAAATGGAAATGTGATGGACAATCAGAAAACTCCCTTGGCAGAGCATCTCTTGTTTCCAGTAGTCACAGGGCAGATACAGCTGAGAACCAAGCCTAAGACTTGAGTGAACGGGTTGCAGAGATGTACTGCCAGGTAAATGTTCTATGTTGCCAGTCTGTGTTAAGGGAGTGTGACTCTCAGATGTGGGATAGACACCACTCATAGTAAACTGCTTCTCCTCCAGACCCACAAGAATGAATTTCTAATGCAGTCCAAAGAAGCACAGGACTTGGTCTGGCATGAACATGCCACACATTGAGAGTGTTAGAGAACCTCACCAGTTTGCACAGGCAGGAATCCCAGAGCATGTGTATGAGGAGATTCTGTGTCAGTTATGGCTTCTCAGCTCCAGATCCACTCTTCATTGCCCTGCTGGATCCTGCAAGCAATTTTCATCATCTCCTGGCACAATGTTAGGCTTTGCCGGTAGAGGGTGGTAGAGGGACACTGCAGGCTGAAGAGCTTGTTTTCTGGCCCCAAGTATGGAAGTTGCTCCCTAGATCCACTATTATCTTTTATATCTTATGTTTGTCATGTGCTAAGTAGCTTCAGTCGGGTCTGACTCCGTGCGACCCTATGGACTATAGCCTCCCAGGCTCCTCCATCCATGGGATCCTCCAGGCGTTCTTTACCACTAGCGCCACCTGGAAAGCCCTGTGTTCTTTAGGCTTAGTAACTAATTCCCTCTTAATCCTCATCCCGTGTTGCTAGATAATGATTCTTTCGTTTTTGGCTTTGTGGATTTTAGTTCCTGACTAGAGATGGAACCATGTCCCCTGCAGTGGAAGCTCAGAGCCCTAGCCATTGGACCACCAGGGAATTCCCTCATGATTCTTTTATTTCTAAATATTTCATGCTTTTTTATATTTATTTTTATTTATATTGTTGTGCTAGGTCTTAGTTGCGGCATTTAGGGTCTTCAATCTTTGTTGTGGTATGTGGGATCTCACTCCCCAACCAGGGATTGGAACCCAGGCCTCTGCATTGGAAGGGCAGAGTCTTAGCCACTGGACTCTCAGGGAAGTCCGATAATGATTTTTTATACTAACTGGGGTTCGACCCCTGGTCAGGGAACTAAGATCCTGCGTGCTGCGTGGCCAAAACAAAAACAAAACAAAAAACTTCACCTGTGAAAATTAGCATGTGATTCCTGACACATACTTGGACCCTGACTGATACAGATTCTAAGGGTGTGAGACTAGACAGGACCAAGGGAAAGGCTTCATGGGGCCAATATTCTTCTCAGGGAATATAGGATTGGAGCTATTAGTTCAATCATCTGGGGATATAATTACTACTCTGTTGGGTTAGTGAGTTAACTAATGTCTCCATGAAGTGACAACAAATGAGCTAACTCTCTCCAGGTGACCTGGCTGTGGACTCCACTCAGTACCCAAACCCAACAAAGGCAGAGGCCAATCTCAGCCTGTTACGATGTCTTTCTCCAGCAGGACTCTTCAGGACGCACACCCGGCTCTCGAGACTGACCTTTCTCCCCACAGGGTAACACGTGCTGTGGATGCTGACCCACCTTCCTTGCACTCAGTGTTTCTGTCAACACTGCCATCTGGGGACTTAGGAAATGTCTGCTCTATTGCTACAGGATCCCATGAAGCTTTTTAAAATTAATTAATTAGTTAATTAAATTTCTCTTTTTGCTGCCCCTAGGTCTTCCTTGCTACATGGGCTTTCTCTGGTTGTGGTGCACAGGCTTCTCACTGCTGTGGCTTCTCTTGTTGCGGAGCACGGGCTCTAGTGCATGGGGCTCAGTAGTTGTGGCATACAAGCTTATTTGCCATGTGGCCTGTGGGATCTTCCTGGACCAGGGATTGAACCCCTGTCCCCTGCACGGGTAAGTGGATTCTTAATCACGGGCCATCAGGGAAGTCCTCCCATGAAGTATTGCTCCCAACTAGAGGATGTATTTTAAGGCAAAGGAACTGAGGCAATTAACTCCCACCCATGGAGCTCACTGACCTTCCAGATGCCCCACTACACAGACACAGCTGGCTTATCAGAAGGGTCAAAGGGCCATGATGGCTTATGAAGGCACCAGCTGGAGAAGGTACCTTGCCACCCAACAGGAGATGCTCTAGGTCTCAAACTGGCCAGTCTATCGTGCCACCTCCCCTAGAGCCAGAATGCAGGGCTCCATGACACAGGGGAGGATAAGGAAGTGTGCCCCCCATCAGCACACATGACAACCCACTTAAAGGATTCTTGCTCCTGGTCTCTGTGACCTTGGGCTTGGTGTGGGTGAGAAACCCAATCAGAGCTCTAATGACCCAGAAGCCAGGACTGCCACCATGCTATCTTGTGTTCCTCATGCTGCTGAAACAAGAGGCGGAGGAGACCACCAGAGGGAACGTGACCACCAGAGGGAGGCTGGTTTGCTGGGTCAAGGGGGACTACGTTTGGGAGCCAGGGGGCACGTTGGGGGTAATATTTACTTGTCGGTGGCCCTGTTCAGAAGAAAGTATCCCAAAGCCAATAAAGACAAGACTATTGAACACTTACTTCCCTTAAGAATGAAACCTTGTGTCTCAACAATATGGAGAGGAGGTGTTGGCAGGTGGTAAGAGAACGTAGAAGGGGTGGTAGAAGAAGGTGGTTCTCATCACCACCAGCTACACAGTCAGGGCCTTTGTAGCCCTGTTATAGGTTTTCCCCCATCTTCTTCTCACTGTGGTTCTTGAAGAACTGATCATCTAAAGCTGTGGGTATGTGACCCCTTGTCATTAGCACAAGATGATTCTATGATTAAGTAACAGATGGGAATTGTGTGTCTTCTGTATTGCAGACTCAAGGGGTGGATTGTGCTGTTTCCTTCTTCACATTCATTCTCTCCCCTTCTCCCCCTGCCCTGTGCTGTAGGGACTGTTAGTGGGATCTCCCACCTTCCAGCTGGGTTCAGTCAATGTGGAGCCCCAACAGGAGACCAGAGGGAGGACACTGAGTGAAGTTGGGGTATTAATTCCCCAGCTCCCTCCCTGTAGCGTCGTTGTGGGTTGGGTGGATTTTTCAGCCTGAGATCATGGCTCCTGTCAGGCAGCCCTCTCTAAACACCACCCCCTTCCAGATTCTAACAACAGTAATGACTTCTTGGTCTTTCAAGCCTAGGATGATAACAGACCCAATGATATCAGCCTCAAGAAATGGTGCCAATCCTCTCATCTCTCTGCTTCACACAAACCACTATGTCAATTTATTCAAGTGGGGTGAGCCCCCTGTTGGTGCTGGCTACTAAAATAGAAGCTTCATTGGTCTGGCACACCTTCACTTCCCAAGTCATTATATGTGTGTGGTCAGTGGCTCAGTCATGTCTGACTCTTTGCAACGCCATGGACTGTAGCCCACCGGGTTCCTCTGTCCATGGAGTTTTCCAGGCAAGAGCATTGGAGTGGGTTGCCTTGCCCTCCTCTGGGGGATCTTCCCCACCCAGGGATCAAACCCAGGTCTCCTGCATTGCAGGCAGATTCTTTACTGCTGAGTTGCCTGGAAAGCCCTCCCAGGAGGCCCTAATACTTCTGCCTGCAAGACCTAGAAGACTCTGCTACCACCCAAACTGGTCCAGGGGGGCTGTGGACCAGACCAGTGAAAGATGACCTGAGATGGTGACTCTCTCACCAGCTTCCTCTCCTCCCTCGTGCCAGATCTCTGGGTGTCTACCCTCCCCTCACATAGAGAAACCCCTGCATGTGGGGAAAGGACAGTGTCTTTATTATCACACTCAGCTGGCCACTGGTTGAATGTCCACCCTCTCAGAGGATCAGTTCAGCTGTTCCCAGGCCTTTCCATATGCTGTCACCAGGTCAGATAGTGTGTGTGTGTGTGTGTGTGTGGTGGGGGGGGGGGGGTTGTGATGAGGACTGGGACATGATTCAGTGTCCAAGGCTGTTGAATTATGAGGTCAGAGGGAGAGGTGGGGTGTAGGGGTCAGCAGGAGCTAAGGATTATGGGGGAACAGGGTCAGCAAGGAGGGTGCCCCACACCAAAGGGCTAGGGACAGCCCCAGCCCCACCACCCAAGCCAGGGAAGGGCCAGGGGCAGCTCCACTTAAAATGGGAGGCGGATCCACCTTATCGTCACCCTCACGCTCCTCAAGCACCTTGAAGACCCCAATAGTCCGCCTACGGCTCAACAAGGTGCTGGATGGGTGGGCCACGCAGCCCTGGATGCCCACTGGGGTGGTCACCCCACCTAGAGAATGAAGATAGAGAGTGAAGACAGAGCGTTCAGCGCTCCTCATGCTTAAGTTCCTAGACCCTATTAATCCTGGACCTTCCCCTACTCCACCTCAGACCAAGAGACCAGGCTCTTAGTCCCCTCCTCCCTCAGACCTAGAAAACCTGGGTCCCCAAGCCCCTCCACCCCCAAACTCGTGAGCCAGGTGTGGAGCCCTGTACCAAGGTCACAGGATAAAAATCTCTGGAACTAACCAAGCCCCATAGCAACTGTTGCCCTGAGCCTCTGGATCTAAACCGACCAGTTCCCTGACCCGGTATTAGGTAAAATACCCACCCTATTACCCACCCTATAGCATCCTAACCAATCACCTAATGCCACCATTCCAATAGGAATTTTCTGTCTTGAGGCTGTAAAAATTGGTTGCTAGCCTGAGAAGGGGTTTGGCACTCCCCCAGCCCACTGTTTGGTTTTCCCACTCTATTAAACTTTATTTTCCTCTCGTTCTGCCTCATATCTGGAAATCCTTTTCCAACCCACGCACGAACCACAACACCAAGGTCTCAAGCACTCTCCCACCTCGGGACCCCATGAATCCAGGCCCCCAGCCCCTTCCTCCTCAGGACCTGACCTTCGGCACTCACCTCCCGAGAGAAAAATCTGACCCTTGTAACAGTGACTGGTGCCCTGAGGACACGTCACAACGTTAGAGCTTTCTGAGCAGGATCCAAGGACCAGACAGCTGGGACATTGCAGGTGTCCTGGGGCCGGGGCGGCTGGGGAGCAGAGAGAAGGTTGGGAACACACAGCCCTGCACTTAGCTGCGGCACCCCCTTGAACCCAGAGATGTGTCTCTGGGGCCCCGTCTTTCCCTACCCTGGTCCCCACCCAGCCCGCTGGCATCACACACCTGGACGAGGCAGGGCGTTGACCAGGACACTGCTGCTGGCGGCCGAGTTGCAGTAGTCGGAGGAGCAGACCCGAGCATAGGAGGCGACCAGCACTCCGGGGGTCTTCGAGTGGATGGTGGTAGCCGGGGTCCAGATCTGGCTGCAGCCTTTGCTCCCCAGCAGGATCGACCTGCGTCCTGAGGGGTGAGAGAGAGAAAGCTGGGCGGTGAGAGGGGAGGCTCCAAGGGCAGCAGAGTCACGGGCTCGTCAGTCTGGGGACAGGTACGTGACGACGACAGGGGAATGGGGAAGCCTGGGGCCAGAGTCGGGGTCCTCCCCCAGCTCTGTCGCCCCTCATTTCTGGCTCAAAGGTCACCTTCGGAGTAGAACGTCCTCTGAATTTCCCGTCGGAAATGAAATGTTTTCTGCTCTACGCCCTACCAGTCAACACGCCTTTTTCAAATGCAAATTTCTGAGCCCAGATGAAACAAAGCCAGGTTTTGGGAAGCCAGGAGCTGTGTGTGTGTGTGCGCGTGTGTGTAATGCAAATTTCTGAGCCCAGGTGAAACAAAGCCATGTATTTGGAAGCCAGCAGCTACTTCCTCCCCCCTGAAAGCACTGAGGAGCTGGGTGTGTGTGTGTGTGTGTGTGTGTGTGCACGCGCGCGCGCGCGCATGTATGTGTGTGTGTGTGTGTGTGTGTGTGTGTGTGTGTGTGAGAGAGAGAGAGAGAGAGAGAGAGAGAGAGAGAGAGAAAGAGGCAGCTATCCACCACATTTGCCATCTCTTATGATAAACAAGAAATTAGTTTGTGAACAATAAAGAAAGCAGGACTGGCCCCAGATAGCTAGATGCATATGAAGCTCCAATACTCTTGGGGACCTGATACAAAGAGCCGACTCGCTAGAAAAGACTCTGATGCTGGGAAAGATTGAGGGCAGGAGGAGAAGGAGGTGACAGAGCATGAGATGGTTTGATGGCATCACCGACTCAATGGACATGTTTGAGCAAACTCTGGGAGATAATGAAGGACAGGGAAGCCTGGTGTGCTGCTGCAGTTCATGGGGTTGCAAAGAGTCGGACACAACTGAGCGACTGAACGACAACCACAAATATGAAGGAAATGATTTCAGCAAGTCTGGACACTTGCATCTTCCCAAAGAAGATAGAAGATTGTTAAATCTCTTCATGTGAGAGATTGAGTTTTCTCTTAATTAACAGTAATCTTTTCATATTCAGATTACCTGCCACTTGCTGCAAATGTGTATAACATTCCCACCGAATAAACAACTAAAATTTTAGGTTCGGGGGTTTTTTAGTTGACAGGGAGCCTTCAGAGCACAAATTGCAACCTTCACATCATTCTCCTGTTCTCCCATCCCCACTGGACTTCTGTCCACAGCTCTTATCTTCATACATGATATCTCACTCTTTTGTTTTGCCTGCAGCTTCCCACTGGCCTGTAAAGCTACAAGAAGGCAAATGTAACGGGATCTACTGCACCTAAAACACTGCCTGACACATAACAGCAGTTCCTTAGACTTTGAATGAAATGAGTTAAGAGTCGGACAGGACTGAAGTGACAGCAAAGCTTTCTCTGTGCCGGCTCTGTTCTCAGCCCTTTGCCTGGACTGCCGGCTATATCCTAGTGACCACCCTGTGAGGTAGATTACTATTACTGCCATCGTCTTTTCCCGGTTTTCAGAAGGGGAAACCAAGGCACAGATAGAGGAAGAATTGGGTTTAGAATTGCAAGCCTGAAGGGACTGTGGCAGGAAATTTAGTGCACAGAATCCAGGGCAGGGGGCTTCCCTGGTGCTCCAGTGGTTAAAATTCCTTAACCACTTAAGGAGGATTCCTTGCAATGCAGGGGACACAGGTTTGATCCCTGGTCCAGGAAGATCCCACAAGCCGCGGGGCAACTAAGCCTGTGAGCCTCAACTACTGAAGCCCGCACGCCCTAGAGCCTGTTCTCCCCAACAAGAGAGCAATGAGAAGCCGCAGCTCGGCAACTAGAGAGTAACCCTTGCTAGAGAAAAGCCCATGCAGCAACGAAGATCCAGAACAGCCAAAAATAAACAGATAAGTATTTTTTAAAAATCCAAGGCAGGATAGGACCCAGCAATCCCATTGCTGGGCATACACACCAAGGAAACCAGAATTGAAAGAGACACGTGTACCCCAATGTTCATCGCAGCACTATTTACAATAGCCAGGACATGGAAGCAACCTAGATGCCCATCAGCAATGAGTGGATAAGAAAGCTGTGGTACATATACACAATGGAATATTACTCAGCTATTGAATCAGTTCTAATGAGGTGGATAAAACTGGAGCCTATTATACAGAGTGAAGTAAGTCAGAAAGAAAAACAACAATATAATATATTAATGCATATATATGGTATTTAGAAAGATGGTAATGATGACCCTATATGTGAGATAGCAAAAGAGACACAGATGTAAAGAACAGACTTGAACTCTGTGAGAGAAGGTGAGGGTGGGAAGATCTGAGAGAATAGCATTGAAACATGTATATTATCATATGTGAAACAGATCGCCAGTCCCGGTTCAATGCATGAGACAGGGTGCTCAGGGCTGGTGCACTGGGATGACCTGGAGGGATGGGATGGGGAGGGAGGTGGGAGGGAGGTTCAGGATGGGGAACACAGGTACACCCATGGCTGATTCATGTCAATGTATGGCAAAAACCACTACAATATTGTAAAGTAATTAGCCTCCAATTAAAATAAATTAATCAATTTTTTAAAAATCCAAGGCAGGGAGATACAGGACCCCAGGCAGGGGTCTTGCCCTCTTGCACAGCCCACGCACCTACATCTATGAGCAGAAGGGTCTCCTGACACACCTCCCCAGGGTTACACTGCTGCTCCCCAGTTGTGGACCACTTGACAGGGTCCTGGCTCAGGCTTGCAGACATCCGCAGCATGATCCCCCGATGACAGGTCAGACTGGCTGCGGAGAAAGAATCACCAAGGTCTGTGGGAGCCAGGGACCTGCCGTGTGCCTTCCTTCCTGGTCCTCTGCTTGGGAAGATGCTCACATTCTTGAGCCACCCTGCAAGCCCGTTGGGCCACTGGGTCCCTCAACCTCATATTTACAAGGGACCTTCAGGGCTTCCCTGGTGGCTCAGACGATAAACAATCTACCTGCAATGTGGGACATCCAGATTCAATCCCTGGGTCAGGAGGATCCCCTAGAGAAGAGAATGGCCACCCACTCCAGTATTCTTGCCTGGAGAATCTCATGGACAGAGGAGCCTGGCTACAGTCCATGGGATTGCAAAAGAATCAGACACGACTGAATGACTAACACCTTCACTTCTTTCATTTTGGAAGTCTGAGCTGCATCCTCATTCTTTACCCTGTTTCTGCTCAAGCACACTACAGGGGCCTTTCTCAATGCCCCCTTGAGGACAGCTGCTCTCTCCTTCAGCTGTGATGGAGACAGATGGCTCTTCCTTAGCCTGAGTCAATCTCTACATCCCTCCCTGGGCCTCGGGGTCCTTATCTAGATAAACAGGAAAGTAGCCTGACACCATCTATGTCTTCACTGAGCAGCTCTATGTTCTAAAGAAATACTCAAATGCCTTGTATGCACTGAACACTTAAAAGGTGCCCAGCCACTGTGATCTGTTTCCAAGGATGAACCCTCCCCAGAAGCTCACCTCACCTGGATTGCTTCATTTCCTCCTGGCACCCCCCTACCCAAAGCAGGTTGTCATCATCATCACCCCCATTTTCAAGGGGCGAAAGATTTATTCAATCTGAAAAGAAACCGGAGTATCACCCCCATTTTCAAAGTGAAAAACAGGGGAGTTTTGAAAGCAGCTTGCCCAATGTCCCACTACGAATGAGTTAGGAGCTAGGTTGGGAACTCAGGCATTATTCTGGCTCCCTGCAGGGAGTGATGGGGAAGAGAAGGACTGATGACCATCCTGGGTCACCTCAGGCCCTGTAGCCCTCAGCAGTCTAGTTTGAAAACCATTAGACCGTCTCTTGAGACCATCATACGATCAGCTGGGATGTGTCTCCTGATGCAGAAACCCCCAGGGCTGACTGTGCAAGTAACCCACAAATGTGTTAACTTTAACAACAGCCCCCATGAAGGAGGATGACTCATTCCCCCGCTCCTGCAGCCTCCCTCCCAGCCTGGTTCCCGCTCTGCCTACCTCCATCTTTCCTGTCTTGGCCAATGGCACCTTCTTTCTTGCAGTTGCTTAAGTTGAAGACATTGCTGTTATTCTCGACAATCCCTCCTCTCTTACACCCCATGTTGCGCCCATCAGGAAATCCTGTCCACTGAAGCTGCAAAATCCCTCCCCAGCCTGACCACTTCTCACCTCCTTCATGGCTGCCACCAGGGTCTAAGACCCCTTGGTTCTCACCTGCTTCTTCCTGAGTCTCCCTGGAGGGTCCCCTCCCCCATAGCCCCTTCCCCTTTACTCTATTCTCCACCAGGCATTCAGAATGATGCCCATAAAAGAAAGGTTGATTCACATCAATCCTTTGCTCAGAAAACTCCAGTAGATCCTCAGCCCATTCAGAATAAAATTCTAAGTCCTTAAAATGGCCCCAAAGGCTCTACCTGAGTTGCCCTCCCTCCCCTGCACTGTCCTCCCATCCTGCTCTGCTCCCGGTTGATCGCTCTGCTGGAGTCCCACTGACTTCTGGTCTTCTCTGAACCACACGTGGAGGCACACGCCTGCCCCAGGGCCTTTGCATATGCTCTGCCACCTTCAGAGGTGGCATCAGTGAGCGTCTCCTCCTCCCTGGACTTAGTGAGAGAGGCTCTGAGCAGTGGTAATCCTCAAAAGCTGGTTCAGTGGCAAAGCCCAGAATGAAACCCATGTCTTTCCATTCAGATGCTAAGCTCTTAACGGCTGCGCTCTCCCGGGCTGGGCCGACCCACTGCTCTAGCTGGAACCACGATCCAGTCCTTAGGGGGACAGTCAAGGCTGTTGAAATCCTGGACCTTTGGTCCTTCTTCAGTCTGGGCTCCTGAGGCGGCCCATTTTGCACCCAGTCCTCTCCCCATGCCTTCCAGGAGCTGTTCTCTGTCCCTGGGATGTCTTTCTGTTCTGCACTTCCTCCCTGACATCTTGCTCCACCCTAGCCCCCTTTTGGTCCAGTGGCTAAGATGCCACACTCCCATTGCAGGGGGCCTGGGTTCAATCCCTGGGCAGGGACTAGACCTCACATGCCACAAATAAGAGTTCACATGTCTCAACTAAGACCCAGTGCAGCCACATATATCAATAAATAAAAAAACAACTTTCAAAAAAGATCTGGCTCTGATGTGGAAAGCCAACAAAATAGGGACATATATGAGGAATATCCATTTGTGGCATAATGGCTGTGTTTTATGTAACACGTGTGTGGTTTGGGCAGCACACATATGTGGGATATGCATGGGGTGTGTGAATATGTAGCGGGCCTGTGGAGGGTATGGGATAGCATGGGAATGTGTGGAATGTGTGTGGTGCGTGTCTGGTATGTGATGTGTGGTGTGTGTGTATAGTGGTAGAGTGTGGTGATGTGTGTGGTGTGTGTCGTATGAGTGTGTGCGTGTCCTGCGTGTCGGTGCTGTGTGTGTGTGTTGGGTGTTGGGCGTGTGCTGGGTGTGGTGTGTGGTGCTGTGCGGTGTGTGACGTCTGTGGTGTGGGGGGGATGTGTGAGGGGTGAGGAAACAGGTGTGTAGTGTGTACATGGAATATGTAGTGCGTGGTTGTGTCTCTCGTGTGTATCGTGTGTTGTGTGGTGCGTGTGGCATGTGTCTGATTTGTTTCTGAATGTCTGCTGGATTTTGTTACCTAATATTCCTGCTAGTCCCAGAGATGAGGGCCGAATAAGTAAACTAGCATTAATTTAAAAAAAAGATTCCGACTCTGTCCCTCCCTGATCATGGCTCCCCTGCCTTTAGCAGAAAGGCTAGCCACATCAGTCTGGCTAGGGAGATATCTGACCCACCAGGACTCCCACCTACCCCTCAGCTCCCCCACCAACATCCATTCCCAAGACACAGCAGGACGTTCCTTCTGCTTGGAAGGGCTCTGCCTTCACCACCCACACTCACCCTGTCCACCTGGAAAACTCGTCTTTGCTCACCGCTCCCAGCTGTACCTCATCCTCGCCATGAGCCCTACTCAGGCAGAGCCCAGGGAGTCTTCTTGAAAACAGCGGGCTGCCCCCACCTCCAAGCCTTTGCCCACACTGTCTCTCTGCCTGTTTGTGCCCTTTTCCTCTTCTGTGCGTGAACTGCAGCTCATCATTAAGACATGGGTCATATGTCACCTCCTCTGCGAAGTCCTCCCTGAATTCCCCCTCCCAGAACATCAGTATCTTCTTCCTCTGAGCTCCCCCAGGCCCCCTTCATGACAGCCTCATGGCTACCTGTGTCTGTGATATCTCTGTTCCCAGTCCCAGAGACCCTTTAGGGCAGGGCCAGGGTCTGAGTCCTCTGACCTGAGTCCTCTCCCTGAGTCAGGGAGACCTTGGAATGCTGTATGAACTCCGGTCAGCAAACACATCCTGGGGAACCCATCCTTACCCAGCCCTTGTGCTGCCCGAGGCTGAAAACCCTGGTGTCAGGGACATCTGGGTTCTGTCCTCAAAGCTCCCAGTCCAGCCAGAGAGATCCAAACAGGAACGTTTGCTGAACTCACTCAATTCTCTGCCCGAAGCTTGGTCAGGGAGGACCCTCCTCCCACTTTCTCCAGACCCCACTTCCCTCCGTGCCCCACCCCTCTCCTCATCCTGCTCCCCAACATCAGGACACTCCAGGCCACTCTCATCCACCGGTGTTCCACCTGGACTGGGTTTCCATGGGCAAGTGGGAACCCTCCCCGTGTCCTCGTTTGGCTCTTACTTTCCCGGTCACACCCGAAGCACCCCTGACATTCTTCTGATCACTTTTTCTCTGCAGCAGGGCTGCTGGGCCCTCCGGTACCAGGAGTGGGGGTTGGGTGAGGGTGGGATGCCAGAGTGGGGGTGGGGGTCAAGGGGAAGCCAGAGACCGCAAAGTCAGGGAGGTGGAGAAATGGAATCAGAAGCAGCTAGTCACTGCCAGCAGGGAAACCAGCAGGCACTCCTGCAGCCAATGGATAGAGTGGCATTCGATGTGGCTCACCCTCTTTGCTTCTCTGACCTTCCTCCTGGCTCCCTTGCTCCTCTCCCACCCGGACAGGCTGTCCTAACTGAGCCAGGCTCAGCATCATTAAAAACACCTGTCCTATAGATCTCCTGTCCTATAGATCTGTTCCCTGGACCACGTACCTTCTCTGTTTCCTGGCATCCTCGCCCGAAGTGCCTACTGGGAGAATCCCTCCCATCACACCTGCCTGAGTGAGTAGTAACATTTGAACGACCTGTGATGCTGGTTTTGGTGGGATATGTTTGGATGCCTGCCTTTCGCAGGGTTATTATACCCCAGAACTTCCGCCCCTGGCACTTGGTCTTGTTGCTGTGACATTCACCTTGAGGAAAGCAAGTCTCCTGCAGGCTGATGGGCCCAACTTCCTGGGTTCCATTCAGCAGGTTGCAGCCTGGTTGAGAAACGCATCCTTGGACTTGGAGTCTGGTGGTGCCCTCTGGAAAGTGGGAGAAGGTGGAGACACTGGGACCAGCCAACACTCAGGGGGAAGCCAGGCCCGCCCTCCTCAGGGTTCCCATCCTCACCTCCCTTTCCTCCCCAAGAGACTCAGATTTTGAGCCTCAGCCCCCACCCCCCGCCACCCCCCGCCTCTCCCAACCCTGGCCCCGACCCCACCTCCCGGTGGCTCACCAGCGGTGAGGTGGAGGACCCCACTGTAGCAGTGTGAGCTCTCAGCCGGGCAGGTCAGCTCTGGGGCCGACAGACAGCTTTCTGTAGACAAGCAGACTGGACACCGCACAGAACCCGGGACTGGAGAGGTGAGAGACAAAGGGAGGGGGGAATAAGGGGCTCTGAATTCGGGCCAGGCGCCTTCCCTCCACCCTCCTCGGCATCAGCTCCCTTAGTCTCCCTGGGCTCCTCTCCGGAAGGTCCGGGGAGCAGGGCATTAGGACCCGTGACCAGAGAGAGGCCAAGGTGGGGAGGGAGCATGAGATCTGCGGAGGGCTGCTTGGTAAGGGGAGCGGAGGGGTGCTTGGGGTCCTTGTAGGACCCAGCGGCTCCACTGAACCGTGGAAGAAGAGGAGATGCCCACGTCCACCGGCGATGCCCAAGAGTAGAGAAATGCAAAGGGCAGAGGGAAATCCGATTTATGATCTCAGACAGAAGCGGACAATGGGAAACCACAGGTCAATTTCAGTTCCGAAGAGGAGATGCCAAAACCCCGACGCGCAAGTTCCCAAACCCCAGGGGAAAAAGAAAGAGTGGGCAGCAGGTTAGGGCCAGAGCCGCAGTCGGAGGTGGGTGGCCGAACATGAGGGAACATCAGTCCAGTGTACTGCTAAGGGGCTGTTAGAAGAGGCTGTGCTGGGGAGGGCCTGCTGGGGAGGCTGGGCGGGGTTGAGGGGAGGCAGGGAGGGATTCTAAAAGAACATTGCCTGTGTGCTCACCCCAACCTCCTCAACCCCATTGCCCCCCTCCTCCGGGCAGTCCCTTTCTCCCCCCACCTCCGGCACCTTTGGGTGGGCGCGGGGTCCAGAGAGGGAGGCTGCTGGCGAGATTGTTGCACAGATTCTCCCGGCACACCCGCGTGTAGGAGATGATGGACAGGCTGGGGCCTGTAGTGTGTTCGGTGACGCGGGCCTCCTGATTGGCGGCCTGGGTGCAGCCCTTGAGAAGCACCAGATACAGGAAGAGTTCTGCGCGGAGACAGAAGCAGGCCAGGGTGGGCTCAGGGCTCCAGGGTCACAGAGGGAGGGTGTGCATCCCGAAGGTGCAGAGGAGGCCCCTGGGCGGCTAAGGTGGGCGCCGCTCCTGGTATTTCGGGGAGTGGTCTTCTGAGTTTGTACACAGAACGCAGGTAGGACTGGAGGGTGGGGTGATAGGGGCGTCTCTCCAAGAGAGAGGCTGCAAGTCAGGAGCGGGCCCGTCTCACCATTCTGGACGATCATCACCATTTCCTGGCAGCCCAAACCTTCGCCACAGTTCTTCTGGGAAGTCGTCCACTGCAAGGGCTGTTCCGATACATTCCGCACGGTCTCCGCTCCCCCAAAGTAGCAGTCCAGGGCTCTCGCTCCTGAAATGGGAAGAGCAAATCCATCTGAGCTCAGCTTCCAGGTGGATCCCCTCCCTGGCCGGGAATCTCACTTACGAGGCAGGGCGAGGGTGATGCCCAGCAGGGCCAGCATCAGGGCAGGGCTCATGGTCTGGGTGGCAGGAATGCTTGTTCCCGCTCTTTCTCCTAGGAAACAGCACTTTTATATCTTGTCACACCCAAGGTAGTCCAGGAAAGGGTGGGGAGGACAGGGTCTTGCTAAACGAGGCCTGGGCCTCCCGTTGAGTCTCCATAGCTTTAAGGTGTTGGGGTGAGGTGAGGTGAGTAGGGTGACGATCGGGGGGAGGACAAGGGTGGGGGGACCGGCAGGGGGAAGAACCTGTGTCCTCCTTCCTTCCCTAGACCCAGGAGTCCGGGCCCCCAGCCCCTCCTCCCTCAGACCCAGGATTCAGGCCTCCGCTTCCTCTCTGACCCAAGAGTCTGGGCCCACAGCCCCTCTTAACGGTTAGAGACTGAGGCATCCTAGCCCCCAGACCTCACTGGTCCAGGCCCCCAGCCCTCTTTCCTGCAGAGCCCAGCTCTGTTGGTCCCCACCCCCACCCTGTTTCAGGGTAGTTTGAGAAGGCGGTTTCCTCATCTCCTAGCACCTTGGCCACCTTCTGCCCCGAGATGGGGAAATGACCCAACTGCCTGTGAAGACACTGCGCGGTGAGTCTTGCCTGGTCCTTATGCTGCCCCTACCTGAACCCTTGCCCGCCATGGATTCCTGCTTCTCTTTCCTTCCTGTGTGCGTGTGAGTCGCTCAGTCATGTCTGACCCTTTGTGACCCCATGGGCTGTACCCTGCCAGGCTCCTCTGTCCATGGGATTCTCCAGGCAAGAATAATGAAGTGGGTTGCCATGCCCTCCTCTGGGGGAATCTTCCCAACCCAGGGATCAAACCCGTGTCTCTTATGTCTCCCGCACTGGCAGACGGGTTCTTTACCACTAGCACCACCTTCCTACACCGCTGTCCTTTTTATTCTCTTTTTCACGAACTTCCTTCATGCTTTCTCTTCTTCTCTTCTTTCCACTCTCAGCACAACACAGGTTCTAGAACCTCCGCATTCCCACCACCCAGGAGGGAGGTGAGGAAAGGCGGGGGTGGGAGGGGACAGGCGGTGGTGGAGACTGAATATCTATCAAAGAATTAGGATATTCCTTGGCAAAGCAAAGTGTCTTTGCCAGAAATAGATGGAAGAGTGGTGTGCTAGAAGATCAGCTTTTCAGAAAAACAGCATCATAACATCAGCCTATTTCTGTGGTGTAAATTCTCTTATCCTGTCTGGTTTTAAGCTACCAATCACTTTAACAACCAGCTCGAAAAATTCCTAAATTTTTAACAATTGGCTTTTGCAAACCTGCACAAACCAGCTCTAGCATGCTGGGTAGGAAGAGACAGGGAAGAATAGGAGGTGTCTATCCGTAACTGCAGAGGCCAGATGTGAGTGTGTGAGAAAGAGAGGGGAAATGGAGAAAAGAGTGAGAACAACAGTAGAGGAGAAAGAAATGAATGTGAAAGTTGCAATTACACATTTATTTCAACATCCTTATATGTTCTATTTTTCTCTGCGTGTGCAAGTGATGGACAGGAGGCCTGGCGAGCTGCAGTTCATGGGGTCACAGAGAGAGCAACTGAACTGACTAACTGAAAAATAATTTTGTTTATTTATATTTTTGGCTACCCTGGGTCCTTGTAGCTGTGCAGGCTTTTTTCTAGTTGCAGAAAGCAGGGGCTACTCTCTAGTTGCAGTGTGTGGGCTGCTCATTGCGGGGGCTTCTCTTGTTGCGGAGCATGGGTGCTAGGGTGCACAGGTTCAGCAGTTGGGGCCCGTGGGCTCAATAATTGCAGTTCCCAGTATCTAGAGCATAGACTCAATAGTTTCGGCACACAGCCTTAGTTGCTTCGAGGCATGTGTAATCTTCCCGGATCAGGGATCGAACCCACATCTCCTGATTGACAGAGCAGATTTACCACTGAGCCACTAGGGAAGTCTCTGTTTTGCAGGTTTCAACTCTGCTCCATGGACAGAGGCAGGTTCCGGTCGTCTGCCACTGTGTCTCCACCATTAACATGGCAGAGCCTAGATGCGCAATAAATACTTATTGAAGGATGGGAGAGAGGGAGGAAGGAAGGAAAGGTACAAGGGAGCCATCACTACAACATGTGTGGGTTGCGTTGCTGTGTGAATGGCACCCTCTGGAGTTGTGTGCATACTGAATCAATGTCCCTGGAGGAAGAAGGAAGGGGGGCAAAGAGGCCCGTAAGGTTGTTGCTGTTGTTGTTAGTCGCTCAGTTGTGTTGGACTCTTTTGCAGCCCCATAGACGGAAGCCCATGAGGCTCTTCTGTCCATGGAATTCTCCAGGCAAGAATACTGGAGTAGGTAGCCATTTCTGGAAGAAGCCAGACACAAAAAGTCACATATTGTATGATTCGTTGATATGAAATAGTTAGAATAAGTAACTCCACTGAGACGTAACTGGTGGTTTCCAGGGCTTAGGGGATGGGGGAATTGGGAGCAACCTCTTAATAAGTAGAGTTTTATTTGGAAGCGATGAAAACGTTTTAGGACTATCTAGGTGGTGGTCATACAACTTTGTGACTGAACTAAATGCCACGGAATTGTTCACTTGAAAATGGTTTCCAGTGCTCGCTTTGGCAGCACATATACTAATATTGGAACGATACAGAGAAGATTAGCATGGCCCCTGCGCAAGGATGACATGCAAATTAGTGAAGCGTTCCATATTTTTCTTTCTAACACCATACACAAAAATAAACTCAAAATGGATTAAAGATCTAAATGTAAGACCATAAACTATAAAACTCCTAGAGGAGAACATAGGCAAAACACTCTCCGACATAAATCACAGCAGGATCCTCTATGACCCACATCCCAGAATTTTAGAAACAAAAGCAAAAATAAACAAATGGGACCTAATGAAACTTAAAAGCTTTTGCACAACAAAGGAAACTATAAGCAAGGTGAAAAGACAGCCCTCAGATTGGGAGAAAATAATAGCAAATGAAGCAACAGACAAAGGATTAATCTCAAAAATATACAAGCAACTCCTCCAGCTCAACTCCAGAAAAATAAATGACCCAATCAAAAAATGGGCCAAAGAACTAAACAGACATTTCTCCAAGGAAGACATACAGATGGCTAACAAACACATGAAAAGATGCTCAACATCACTCATTATCAGAGAAATGCAAATCAAAACCACAATGAGGTACCATTACACGCCAGTCAGGATGGCTGCTATCCAAAAGTCTACAAGCAATAAATGCTGGAGAGGGTGTGGAGAAAAGGGAACCCTCTTACACTGTTGGTGGGAATGCAAACTAGTACAGCCGCTATGGAAAACAGTGTGGAGATTTCTTAAAAAGCTGGAAATAGAACTGCCATATGACCCAGCAATCCCACTTCTGGGCATACACACCAAGGAAACCAGATCTGAAAGAGACACGTGCACCCCAATGTTCATCGCAGCACTGTTTATAATAGCCAGGACATGGAAGCAACCTAGATGCCCATCAGCAGACGAATGGATGAGGAAGCTGTGGTACATATACACCATGGAATATTACTCAGCCATTAAAAAGAATTCATTTGAATCAGTTCTAATGAGATGGATGAAACTGGAGCCCATTATACAGAGTGAAGTAAGCCAGAAAGATAAAGACCATTACAGTATACTAACACATATATATGGAATTTAGAAAGATGGTAACGATAACCCTATATGCAAAACAGAAAAAGAGACTCAGATGTATAGAACAGACTTGTGGACTCTGGGAGAAGGCGAGGGTGGGATGTTTCAAGAGAACAGCATTGAAACATGTATATTATCTAGGGTGAAACAGATCACCAGCCCAGGTTGGATGCATGAGACAAGTGCTCGGGCCTGGTGCACTGGGAAGACCCAGAGGGAGCGGGTGGAGAGGGAGGCGGGAGGGGGATCGGGATGGGGAATACATGTAAATCCATGGCTAATTCATTTCAATGTATGACAAAAACCACTGTAATATTGTAAAGTAATTAGCCTCCAACTAATAAAAATAAATGAAAAAAAAAAGAAAATGGTTTCTATTTGGTGAATTTCATTTCAATAAAAAATTATTACACTGAATGAAGAAACCAGATGAAAAAAAAGAGAACATACTCTAAGATTTCATTTATATACAACTCTGGAAAGTATCAACTAATTTATAGTAACCAAGAGAAGGTGAGTGAGTGCCTGGGTACTGTCGGAGTGGGGCTGAGTACAGAGGTAGGGATTACAAAGGCTCATGTGGAAAAATTTTAGGTAAACATGTAAAATTGTTCAAAATTTCAGATTCCCCATCTTTTTTTCTTTAGTTGACTTAGTTGCCCTGAGAGATGTGAGATCTTCCCAGACCAGGGATCAAATCCCGAGTTCCCTGTATTTCGAGGCAGATTCTTCACCATGGCACCACCCAGGACATCCCCATGTGGAAGGCCCCATGTGGAAACTTGGGTGGAATGGATACATTCACTATCTGAACTGTGTTGATGACCTTACAGAGTGTGTGTGCACATGAAAACTCATCGAACTGTATACTTCAAATGCGTGTGGTTTCTTGCCTGTCCATTACAGCTCACTAGAGCTGTAAGCAAGGCTTGAGGTTATGGACTGCCTGTGTTGTCAGGAGGAGAGAATATTACTCTACCACTGATACAGCCAGGTTGGTAGACCCTGGATGTGTGCACACTGGTGTGCAATAAGTATAACTGCTGGCCTTTATGTAGCACTCACTGTGTACAGGGCACTTCAGGTGGCTTAGCTCATTTAATCACCCAAGTGAGTCTGTTGAACTTTATTTGACTCAACTTTCCTACCCCCTGGCCTTTGCACGTTCTAAGTCCTCTGCCTGGAACTCATTTCTGCCCTTTTGTGAAAAGTGAAAGTGAAAATCTGAAAGTGTTAGTCGCTCAGTTGTGTCCGATTCTATGTGACCCCATAGACTGTAGCCCATCAGACTCTTCCGTCCATCGGATTCTCCAGGCAAGAATACTGGAGTGGGTTGCCATGCCCTTCTCCAGGAGATCGTCCCAACCCAGGGATCCAACTCGCATTTCTTAGTCTCCTGCATCCGCAGGTGGGTTTTTTTGTTTTTGTTT